TTAAATTTAACAAACAGTTTTCTCAAGCTTGCTTTACAATATATCACGACCAGCTAGCCAAGACAGAAACCATTTATCATATTATTTTGTAAAGAAAGAATTCTCATCCATGTTTTTAAGGCCAATTACATCCATAGAAATAAAAAAAAAACATCATGCGCGAATTGAAGCCCAAGTCAAGTTTTGGAAACGATAGTATCAATTCGAAATATGTTCCGGAATATCTTTGACATATTGGAATATACATTTAACCTTTTACTATCCACTGGAACCGTCATTGTAAGTTCCAAAACAGCGCTCTTCCTCTCTAAATAAAAGTTAACCCCCTCCCCTTTGAAAAGTTATGGCTACGACCCTGAGCAGGATGTCAAATTATTTTGAAAGCAATAACATTTTCTACTCGTATTTGTTTGGTTTCCGAAATAAACACCTCACTGCTATTGCTGCTAATGTTTTGGTTCATAAACTAATCGAAACCTTCAAAGTGAAGCAATATATGCTATTGCAATATTTTTAGATATTTCAAAACCCTTTGAGGCTATGGAACATTCTATTCCTTTAAAGTAAGGTTTATCACTATGAAATAAGACTAAGAAGGACACCATTTAATTAGATCCGGAGCTACCTGCAGGACAGAAAACAAGTTATGCAATATGACAATCCTTTCTCTACTAATATTTGCGTCATGAAGCACGTGGTTGGTCAGGGATCCTCATTTGGCCCATTATTCTTTCCAACTTTCATAAATGACAAGCTCAGGTGTCAAAACTGTTCAGCTTTAATAATATTATTCCGGTAATTTTAGTTGGACAATTTGTAATAGCTCGAAGGAGTGTTTCTCCGCCGGGTTTTGAGCGTAAATGACCGAACTACTTTTATTCTGGATGTCGAAGATGAAGCACTTTGGTCGAAGAAAGACATTGCAAGAAAGTTACCAATCCCTAGCAATATTGGAACTTCACGTCGCACCCAGTTCACGTTTTCTTGTGACCTCGATGAATGGAATCTTTGATTTTCCCATACTCTGTCACACGCTATTTCAACTTATGAATAAACGTTTCTTTTCGATTTCTATGTGCTACCAAGGTGTAATAAGAAGGCTTCGGTGGTATAATTCGTTTCCATTCTGTATTGACTGACAAAAATAAATAAGATTATAGATGCATTGACTCCTATTTAAGATTAGCTAAGTTAAATTTGCCCAGTTGCCTCACGGTTCCGATACAGAAGTATTTGCCTCTCACATTTGTGAAAGATACTCTCCCGATTGCAACTTAAAACGCTACTTCCCGTGCCATTCTGCATGTAGCGGCTCAACTCTCATCAATGGTATGCACAACTCTCCTCAACATGCAGGAGACTTGTGACATCTGACATCCCTTTTTAAAACTGGTATAACTCAGAAACAGGGTCGGTTGGATTAAAAGAGACATAACTGTAATATAGCAGAGGTAATGACCTTCGGATGATATGAGCGTCTTCAAATTGCTACGAACGATTGAGGAGATATAACTAAATATATAAAAATGGCTCATCTCTCCCGCATCTCCCCTACTCAGTATTCAGTAATTATTGACTCGATTAATGTTATGTGAATAAACTTGATTTTTATGTCTTATGTAAATTCTAACGAAAATCATAACTTGGCTGGTTGGTTGAATTTCACAAAAATGTTGCGGCCCTTAGTGAATTTCTGACTCGTTGCGGACTCGTTCAAACGCTCCGCGGACTAATTTGAGAGGGGGGAGCCGATAGGACGGCTTATCCATATGGCGAACCACGGCCTCTCGTCCGGTTACCATTCCAAGTCGGGTATGGGATTAGATATATTGTTTGTTTCCGGAAGCATGGACTTGGTGGTGGAGGAAGTCGTAACCGACCAGCGGTTACGTGAACCACCCAACGACGGCGAGGAGTCCAGAAATCCTCTCGCACATAACCATCCCTGCATGTGATTCGAACCTGCGAACCCACGCAGAGTAATAGGAGGTGCGGTGGCGACCGTATTCCTAACGCTTAGCCCGTTGAGCCACACCGCCGCGCCCGTTGAGCCACACCGCCGCGCTCGTTGAACCACACCGCCGCATTTAGTTTTATCCAGCTCATCACTGGATGAAACTAAATGTCCACAGACGAATAGACCAACAACGAACAAAATGCATAGATATCAGGAATACGAGCATAAATCAAGGACGAAAAACGTACAATAAAATTAATACATACAATACAAAATCGGAAATACAACTCTATCGATTTATGCGGGGAATCTTTATAGCCTACTCGACTACTTCAAAAAAAAAATTAAATTATTATATGTCTGAACTTGCTTCTCACAAAGGCAACATCCAGGCAGTGTGGAAAACAATTGATGAGCTAATTAGTAAAAATATTGCTTGCCATTCTACTTGACTTGGATGCAGTGGTACAGAAATTAAATTTAACAAACAGTTTTCTCAAGCTTGCTTTACAATATATCACGACCAGCTAGCCAAGACAGAAACCATTTATCATATTATTTTGTAAAGAAAGAATTCTCATCCATGTTTTTAAGGCCAATTACATCCATAGAAATAAAAAAAAACATCATGCGCGAATTGAAGCCCAAGTCAAGTTTTGGAAACGATAGTATCAATTCGAAATATGTTCCGGAATATCTTTGACATATTGGAATATACATTTAACCTTTTACTATCCACTGGAACCGTCATTGTAAGTTCCAAAACAGCGCGCTTCCTCTCTAAATAAAAGTTAACCCCCTCCCCTTTGAAAAGTTATGGCTACGACCCTGAGCAGGATGTCAAATTATTTTGAAAGCAATAACATTTTCTACTCGTATTTGTTTGGTTTCCGAAATAAACACCTCACTGCTATTGCTGCTAATGTTTTGGTTCATAAACTAATCGAAACCTTCAAAGTGAAGCAATATATGCTATTGCAATATTTTTAGATATTTCAAAACCCTTTGAGGCTATGGAACATTCTATTCCTTTAAAGTAAGGTTTATCACTATGAAATAAGACTAAGAAGGACACCATTTAATTAGATCCGGAGCTACCTGCAGGACAGAAAACAAGTTATGCAATATGACCATCCTTTCTCTACTAATATTTGCGTCATGAAGCACGTGGTTGGTCAGGGATCCTCATTTGGCCCATTATTCTTTCCAACTTTCATAAATGACAAGCTCAGGTGTCAAAACTGTTCAGCTTTAATAATATTATTCCGGTAATTTTAGTTGGACAATTTGGCATTTGATTCCAATTATATTCAGCTTGGCGATATTTTTGTACCGTGTTTCTCCGAATTTAGACACCATAGGGCTTATTTTCGGGTGAGGGGTGATGTCTTATATTTTCATTAACTAAAATTTTTTTTAAAAAGTTGAGAATTACGAGATTTTCAAACATACAAAAAATGGAAACCGATATCCATTTACTTATAAATAACATGTCTTTTTCAAAATAACTGAAAAACATAGATTATTTAAAACGTATAGGAGAGATTTATTGCTATCGACTATCCTCTTATTTTAATAGAGAAGGGGAGGAGGGTATATTAAAATCTTATTTGAAAATCAGGCTAGGTTTTACATTCAGGGTAGGATAGATACCTTCCTATTTTCGGGGAAACGCGGTGATTTATTTTCTTGTGAGTGTGTCAATTCATCTCATCAATTTAGGTGAGTGAACGCGTAGGTTAGCGCTTCTTTTGGGAAAACCCGTTCATTTCAAATTATGTACTTATTGAAAGCCTTACTTGAGGTTAAGTTTGCTCTCCTGATTTCATATTCCGTTTTTATTCGTAAATATATCTTTAATCGCCTATTGTGCTGATTATGGAGTCAAAATAAACTCATACCTGGTACTTTATGTAGAACGATGAAAACAAGTCGTAAAGTCGTACCTTAGTCGTTGAGTCGTACTGCCAAGTATGCCAAAAAATATTTCTTTTTTCAATATTTCAATGTATGAAATATTTTTTTTTATCTATTCTTATATAAACTGTCGAAATGCCACTCTCATAATAAACAAGGATGATTTTTTGGGCCGATGGTTGGGGAAAAACCCATATTTTCTTTCATTCGTATTTGACTCCGTCGTCTGGCGGGTTTATTTAACTGACTTATAGTATCAACGCCAAACAAAAATCTGATGAAAATAAGTGACGTCTCCCTAATATAATGTTGTCTTGAATTGATTTCGCGCCTGACAGGCTTTGTTTTTTTTTTAAAACAGAAAAATTTCACAGCTTATTTTTGCTTGGCGTTATTCAAAGATTTAGGCAGTTATCGGTACAGTAGACTATTACTGTATTACCGTCAGTCGTCAGACCGTGTTTGCTTCGCTAGACCCTGGACAGCTAGACGCAAAATTTCTGCGAGTTGATTTTCAGTAGTATTTCCTTTCCAAATTTTTCATTAACCGCTTTTAAATTTTTTGTGAATCTGTCTAGTTTTTTCATTTGTAGCATAGGTTACAGTCATATCTGCATATTACGGTACAGTACCGTACCGTATTATGACTGTTCCTCATGATACATTTCTCTGTTTGCAGCTTTGTTGTTTCCCCAATTTGAGGTTTACATATGACTGAATGCAGTGGTGGGATTCAAATTTTTTGTTAGCCGGTTCCATCACACAAATGTCGAATTTTCAGGCGGTTCTGTTACAAAAAGTCATGTAACAGTGTAATGCTAACCGGTTCGCTGATCTCATAAAATTCCATGAGACGGTTCTATAGAATCGGCTGAATCCCACTACTGCCTGTAGTTATGTTTCAGTAGTGTGACACTACAGCACTACTAGCTGACTACCGGTACGGTAGTTTCTGTATACAGGTCTGCAGGTATACCGTACCGGTATCTGTATTGCTGTTTCAGTGTTTGTTTCACACAATGCTTTAAAAAAGCAGATCATAATTAATTATTACACTAGCAAACTAGACTACATGCAGACAGAGACATGTGACTGTGTGATATACCAGTGTGCTGTATTTTTGTATTTGCAGGAAAAGTCATTACCGTACGGTATGGCAACCAAAGTAGGTAAAATTGAATCAGGTCTTATGCAAAATAGAATTTTTAATACATCTGCTGCACCTGACATGCCTGTTGTACCTAAACAAAATATTCCGATGTTTCAAACAAAACAGGCTATTGCTTCGATTGAATCGCCTGCAAAAAATACAACCCCAGTCATTAACAAGTTATTGAATCTTGGAATTGCTGAGCAAAACATTATGTCAGACAGGTAATAATAAAGTTTCAATAGAATTATCTCTATTGCTTTGATACGGTACGCTGGTATCTGTTGGCACCCCAGAGTTTCATATAGTTTCCTCATTCAGTCGTTCAGTGTTCATAACATAGATCAGGGGTTCTCAAACTTTTGATGTTACGGAGCCCTTGAAGAGGTTGACCATTCTTCACGGAGCCCCACAAATAAATTTTGAAAATAAAGCAGACAAAAAATACATGTTGATATTTAGTGATTAATATTCTTGGTAAGTTAAAAATACCTTACCTAATTTAAATGCTAAAACTTTTTATTCTAAATTGCACGGATAAATTATACATATTAGGCCTGTAAATTTGACACACATATTAATGAATACTCTTTTGATATTTTGGAAGAATGAATGAGTCGCTCATAACATGCGCGATAGCATTTTGCTGCAATCACCGATTGTTTTCGTAGCGATGCGTGTTTTTTAGTTAGACCCTAACATCTATATGTGGTGTTTATTCTCCCTAATCACACATTTTTCTTGCTTGTTCCGCGAATGCGATAATTACGTTTTTGTCTTTGTGCGTAATTGTGAGTTTAGTATGGAAAACAAGTTAATACAATATAATCATCGGCGACGAGATGCTAAAAATAATTAATAAGGGGGTGAATCAGCAACCCAAATTTCTTGATTGGAAAGCGGTATTATAAAATACTAAAACGGAAGAAAACATGATAATTTTTATTTTAGCGGACTCGCGACAGATTAAAAACGCTTTTTTAGACATTGTGACTCACAAACTTTGATGTTATGTTAGGTTATCAATGGGTGTTGTACCGTAGTTACTGAAATCAATACAATAATTGTGTGCTCGATGTACCTTTTTATCCATTCTGAAACTACAGACGGAGCAAAATGCGACTTTTTTCGATATGTGACGATATACAAGATAATCATAAAGATTATATCAATTAATTTGGTATTGAAAACAAAATAAATTTTCATGCTTTCTTTTTTCGTTTACTTGACTTTATTGTTTCTCCTTTGAGGTCCGCGAATTGGCGTGGTAATTGTGGGTGATAATGATTTTATATTGTCGTAAGTCAACTCATCCACAGGTTGAATTGAACACAGTGAACAGACAAACAAGGCATTTGAACATGCGCGCATTGGTCAAGGATTCCGCAATTGTGAATTGTATTCATTGAGATGTGAGAACAACTCAAATTTGATGAATCCCAAGATAGCAAAAACACGATTTCAATCTATTTATAATTGGCAGTTTAGCACCTATTTTAAGTTATTTTAGGTCGGGCCTGAAATGTCAATCATTACGTTCGGGTCGAGCTTCTCTATCGCTGATTTTTTCGGCCGTGTTTTGGCCACGGTCTGCAAAAAAACACAAGTTACCTTATCAACACGACACATACTGTACTAAACTCTTGCAATGACACGTCAAAGAACTCCTAAATAAGATATGAAAATTTCGGGTTTGCTTCGGTCTCGGGCCTGCAAATCCAGTCGGGTTTGATACCCACGGGCCTGGTTGCTGGAATGTTTGGGTCCGATCTTACTTCTGACTTATCCACTGAAAAAGTTTATTTTAAACGAGTGGCCTAATCGCGAATAATTTTGCCCGGGAATTTCCAATTTCAATTTTGAACCCTCTCCCCTCTGAAAATTCTGACTGCGCTTCTGCATCTAGATGCTGTCAAATTTGAATTACCACCTCGTTGCCATATTTCGACTCTACTGTCGTTAAATTTTATTATTGGTGTTTTTGCTTATTAAGAGTTACAGAATAACCAAGTCCGTATTTTGATCGAATATCCCGCGGAGCCCCTAGGTTTCTCTCGCGGAGCCCTGGGGCTCCGTGCGGAGCACTTTGAGAACCTATGGCATAGATAGTTGCAATTCGGTATAAAATAGGCTTGTTGGTTTAAGAATATTTTCTATCTTCTTTGTTTTTTTTTAAAGAGATGCAAATGTTCATTGGCTGATTTCAAATATGGATATTTTTTAATGAATATGAATTTTTTAAACATTGCTAGTTGATTATGCATTAAAAAATTAAACAAATTGATTCAAACAAATTAATTTTTAGCCTAGCAGTCAGAGCATTAGTCTTAACTGTGTTGGCATCATGGATTAGATACCCCCTCATCTAATCCAGTTTGCAATAAATAGAGTAGCCAATGCCGAATCAAAAAGATTCCAGTCTTTCCAAATGCAGAAATATTTATATCTTTTTCCATATTGTATGATATCAGTGACTGCTTGTGGCAGTGCGTTGTTCAAAGCGGAAGGCATAAAGAAAAAGAAAACATTTTTGTTTAACTTTACATGATATCTTACAACATTGTGCTTTTTCATTTTTAGTTCATCTCCTGATTCTCCGCTCTCGAATTCTGCTCAGAAGAAGCTTCGAGATCTGCCTCATACAACAACTTTATGTGGATGTGTTGCGTTTGTTGATGTTTGGTCATCTGATGCTACTGACAATAGGTCTTGTGTTTTTAGAAACTTTTTGACAAGGATGGGAGCAACGGTGTGTGTGGTTTTTATTTTGAATATATTAATTATTATTTTAAGTATTGTCTGTTTCTTTCAATATAATAAGGATATCAAATTTCATTTTACATGATTTCGCTATGTAAAACTTGGCATATACCAGTGTTTTCTGGATAATCACCCAGGTTTTAGTAGGTGCAAATGGGTGCCTATTTTAAGTGGGAGTTTATTGCTATGATATATCCCCTTCCATATCCTCATCATAAATTTATATCAGCCTTGCCCAGCTAAGCTTCATCACCAAAACCAAGAGGCAAAACGAGATGCGAAGCAAAATTTTGTGTAAAATGAATTTTTATCCTGGAGAAGGTAGACGCCATATTTCCAGACATGTAACTGAACAGCTGTTTGACGAAAGTCAATCCTATGCAATATGCAACTGCCATACAACAGCCGGAGGGTTCTTTGTCTGTTTTTCTCAATTTCCCTATTTTTAATTAAGCCTATATTCTGGAAACCCAGTAGTAATATTTTGGTACATAAATGCAAATTTCATAGCATATCTATCGATAGTGCATTAGTCTGTTAAAATTGGAAATAACTTCATACCGTACATAAGCCAGCTGTCATTCTAATATAACCTCAAAATAATTTTATCACAAGGTTGTCAGAAAGTTTACAAAAGAACATCCGATCACCCACGTTGTCTTTAAAGATGGCCATAAATCAGTTATTCAGAAAGCTCAGAAAAGAAATATAAAACTTGTGACTTGCCTTTGGGTCGACAGGTGAGGAATTTCAGTTTTTCCATTTCTTGACATACATATCCTACCTGATATTGTTAGTTACAGAAGGTGTTAAAGCATCATTGGTTTCTGGATAATTTTTTATTAAGAGTTCATTATAATTCTAAAATATGGTAGCCTAATCTTGATATGTTGGAATTCATTGTGAACAAGAGGCTGCATCTACCAGGACTACAGAATTCGATAAGACTTTGTATATTCAAACTTGCTGCAATTAGAATTTTGAATTCTTCCTAGTAGGGAGTTGGAGAATTTAGGACTTTAATCGGTGATATTCGGAATTAAAAATTGTGACAGAAACTTAAAAAGCATAAAGTTTTGTCGGACTTGGAATCTGATAGAAAATTCTCCTCAACCTGGAGCCATTTTTAAAAGTTTTTAAAATTTGAGTCTAGTGTGACTTGTGTCTAGGATTTTTATTTTGATCCAAAGCCAGCATCATCAGGATAAAATGATGTGCAAATCTGTTTTATTGGTAGATTTGTAAGGGTTATACCTTGTACTTCATATTGTTTTGAACATGTTCACTCATATTGAAAGTGCTATTTTTTTCCAAAACTGTCGAGTACATTTCATATCATATATATACACTTACATCTAGTTGATTGTAATGTTTTGATTCCTCAATTTCCCAGATGCAGAGTTCTTCAAAAATGGGTGAATGAAGAGGACTATTTGTTTGATGTATCTAAGTATAAACCTCCAAAGGTGAACAAAAAATTATTGCATATTTTCGATTGTTTACTGATTGGACCCTCGGCTGCTTGGCAGTTGAAGAGTTGGTGTTGCAAATTACATATCCTTACATATCGTCAGACGCTTGTGTATGGCCTTGTTTAAAACAAAATGCATGTATAAGCGTCGGCTGCGTCGTATATTAAAAAAATAATTATTTTTTCTCATAATATACCACGCTTATGGCCTTATGCACTATTATATTTACCCAAATTTTCTAGAGGTTTTATGAAATGCAACCTCAGGAACCAGAAGATGCAATACGAAAAAGCGCAGAAAGGTTGAAAAGAAGAAAAGCAAGATTTGATAAAAAACATGCCAGAATCATGTTCCAATCTCCATTAGTAACGAACAGCCGAAGTGCAAACAATACACCAGGTGAGACTGGGCTTTTTTAAGAATGTTATCTAAAAATGCCTTTTTAGGTGAAAATCTCTAAAATTGTGTCTGAAGTCTAGTAGAATCAATTTTGATCCAAACTCGCTAATCCAAAATTCGTTGTAATAGTGTGTCATCGAGAGTGATTTACAAACAGAACAAGTGCTAGTTACGGTAAATATTTTTCCTGCCTTGCATGAAGCATACCTCAGACATTGAAACTTATTTTTAGATGCCGCAACACCGTCTAATCCAGCATTCAATAGAAAGTATGGAATTTTAGCAGCAGATACTCCGTTTCATCCCCCATCTGTGAGTTTTTTCATAAATTTTGAATGTTGAAATTTTTAGAAAATTCAATATTCTGTAAAATTGGCTTATTGGATAGTGTCAAAATTTCTTTTACCTTGCTTTTTGGGAAAATAATTTTCAATTTAGCATTAAATTTGGGTTTATTAAGTTCTCCCTCACTCCCAGACTCCTCAGCCCTGGTGATGATACTTGCTTGTGATACTATTTTTTGTCAATTATATTGTATAAATATTAAATAATCAATTGATATTAACGGTAGAAATTTACATTGAAAAAAATACAACAATTGTATTTCGTTATTTTGTGTTATTTAATAATCTAGAAAGTGTGAATCCTTTTATTTTACAAAATTTTCTGTTTTTGCAGTGGATTTGTAAGTTTGATGCAATACTTTTTTTTTCAGCCATATCGTTTCTTAAACCCATCTATTGTATATGAAACACCGATATCAGACAGTATGCAACGCATGATGAAACGAATGAAAGAAGGAAAACATATCTTCTCACCTCCCTCATCTGATAATGAAGATGAAAAAGAAAACTGTGAGAAGATGTCTGTGAATGATCAAACTTCGGATAAGCCTACAAGTAATTAACACTTGATATTTGTTTAACAATTTTTGTTTAAATAAACTATAATTTCAAAATTGTTTTTGATATTGCTTCTGGAATTTGCTAAGCAAACTGTATTTTTTTTTATTATTTTTTTAGTTTCAGAAAAGCATTTCTTATTGGTAGCTTGGGCAGGGCTTATTGATATGAAGGGAGTATTTTCAATTGAGCTGGGCCTTCTAGTCTGGACATTGGACTAACTGTGATTTGAACCAAAAGTCTCAAATCTGCAACATTTTAGTCAATGGCAATTCATCTATTTATAACATGCAGTGGGCAATTTTTTTTATGAGGTATTTTCACACTTTTACCTTGAATAAGGCTCTGTACAAAGAGACACTGACACGAAATCTTTCTGCTTTGGCATTGCCTATCAATTTGATGGCGTCCTGCTCGAGGTGTTGGGCAGGGTTTTTGAACCTTTGGTCCTTTTTCTACAAATCAATTATCAAACATGGTTATGGCCCGGTGCTTCTCTAACGACTAAACCAATTCCTTATATCTATGTTGTATCACCTAAATTTTGCCTATTTAAGATAAATACAACACTGTTGTTTAACCAAACTTATTCTTAATAATACAACAACAAGAATAGAAACAATACTATCCCACCATTACTCTATGTTATATAAAAATTACTTATTCTTTCCAGACAATGCTTTCTCAATAATCCATGCAATTACTCCAGAACCAGAAGGTGAAAAGTTTAGTCCGATTGCAGATACACAATGTTTTGTTAAAAGATCATGGAGAGAATCTGGACTTTCACCTCCTAGATTTGATGCTTCATTGGGTAAGGATTGATGTCTCAAGTTATTTAAGCGGTTTTTATTCAATTAAAATTATTTGCATTAAATAGATAAATATTTTTTATCAATCTTCTCCATAAGTGCAAAAGATTAATTGATAATTTTAAAATGAAATATGTAATTGAATATCAGTCTAAGACTAGTTTATATTTGTCCTCTACAACTTGTTTTTATGCCACAGTTCATCCAATGGAGTTCGTATCTCCACTGCACTATAATATTTTTATCCAAAAATTTAGAGTTAGCATAGCAGGTTAATAATGATATAAATTTCATTTAAAATTAGTGACGACTTTCAAAAATTCAGAAGTATAGGTAAATTTATTGGACACAACATCTACTTGTATGTAAATATGTAATATGTTACTGGGAGGATAATGGCAGGCTTTTTTATAATATTAATATGAATAATCAGATTGCTTAGGTTGCATAGGCTACTGCTGTGCTGTGGTTACTCATTTGTCCTACATGTCCATTTTGAGCATTGTTTCAGATGAAATTCCTGAAACCCAGCAGATGGAAGCACCTGACACACCTGATCAAGCTAGATGCAAAATTATTCACCCGGCATTACCCGAAGGTAAGTTTTGTACATTCTATCATGAAATTTTTTATGTATAGGTATTACATCCAACGACAAAGACTTAAAATGTAGGTATCTAATTGATAATAATCTCTGCAATTCTTTCATTTTTGCTCAAAGGATTTAATGAAGTTCCAGAGACCCAGCATATGAATATCAGTCTTCCGTCGCCAAATGCTGAAACACACTTGAAAGGAATTGGACAGCCAGAAACATCTTTGTGTAATGTTGAAGGTGAAATATTTTATTTAAGTCTCTTGTTATTTTTTTTAAATTTACACCCCCTGAAAAATCTGTCCGTGATTGGGAGTAGTGATGAATTTGTGGTTATCATCATTGCTGCATGCAGTTATTTATATTCAAGGTTTTTACATCATAGTCTCAAACTTCACACACACACACACACATACACACACACATATACACACACACACACACATGGGCAGTATTGTTCATTTTTTTACTTTGGACGAGCTGGCCTAGTGGTTAAAAGACTTTTTACATCATAAACTCAAACCTCTCACACACACACACATGGGCAGTATTGTTCATTTTATTAATTTGGACGTGCTGGCCTAGGGGTTAAAAGACTTTTTACATCATAAACTCAAACCTCACACACACACACATGGGCAGTATTGTTCATTTTATCAATTAGGACGTGCTGGCCTAGTGGTTAAAAGACGTTTTACGTCATAAACTCAAACCTCACACACACACACACATGGGCATTATTGTTCATTTTATCAATTTGGATGTGCTGGCCTAGTGGTTAAAAGACTTTTTATATCATAAACTCAAACCTCACACACATGGTCATTGGTCAGTATTGTTCAGTTTATCCTATTGGACTTGATGGCCTAGTGGTTAAAAGACTTTTTACATCATAGACTCAAATCTCATTGGCGGCAGCATCGTTTCACGATACCGAACCAGAAATATTCCAATTTTTCCAAGATAAAGTAACCTCTTATCGTCATGCATCATTTTTATTAAATGTGTGTTTTAGCTATGTTTTGAGATATTCATTTTATGCACCGGATTCTCAATACAGACATATTATAGTTTTTTTCTATTTTGCAGGTGACTTGAGTAAGTCATCTTTGGAAAACCAGCAACAATTGAAGCGGTTTGTAGTTATTTTGTTCTTGGGCCTATTAAAATTTTCAAAAATTTCAGTTTTCAAACAATCTTGTGATAAACTGTATTGAATAATTTGAAACACACCGTGAAGTTTTTTTTTTTGTGTAATATTTTGTACTTTATTCCCGAATAGTATTTCAAAATACCCGTAAAAAACTCCACATACGATAGCAGTAGCCTACTTATCCCTAATTTACGAATCAATAAAATCAAAATTTGAAAATTTTAAATCCATCATTAGGAACAATCAAGAATATTTAGCTTCAGAAAAAACACCAGAACTATTGCTATTGGGTATAAGATGATTGACTAGTTTTGAATATTTCTCATAATGTATATATTTTTTTTCTCTCTAGAACTCAGCTTACAATATCACAAGATTCTGTTTCTGATCTGCATTTACATGTCAGTGGTAGTTCAATCGAATCAATTCATGATTCAACATCGAAACATAAGGATGAACCAAATCTTACAAATATAGAAACTGCTACTACTATTACAGATGTAACTCCAACAGAGCAAAAAATTTATGCTAAACCTTTTGGTGAGTTACCATATAACAACTCAATATTTTTGAAAATATCAATTTTATTACAATATTTTTTAAAATGTGAATGTGCATAGTTTTATGAATTGTTGAATTTAAAAGGAAAGTGGATTTAGTGAAGAGTTAGTGTAGATCAGAGATCTCAGTGGTGTGGTTGCGGCAACTGAGTTGACTTTCTCCCACAGTGAATCTGAAATCTGTGCTGTGATTATATTCAAAATAGCCAAATATTTTCCTCTAGTGCGCTTATTCTTTGTGGTTTACTTTTCTACATACATTGCATTAATTTAATAACAATGCCAAGTGAATAATACCTTTGATCTACAGTTTCATCAAGACGCAAAAAAAGAAAATTACTTGACGACGATGAATGCCTTGAACCGGTTTCTATTCTCCTTAGTCCTCAAGTAAGTTGTATATTTAAAGAATTTTGATATCATACAGAAAACAATATTAGGAACAACATAGAGAGTTAGTGAACATAACAACTCTTGCTTTTTCCAGGAATCTGCGAGGAAGTCAAAATCCATATTAAGCACGCAAGAACCAACAAATATAGGTGAAGTTGTTTGTTTTGTCTCAATGTTTGCTAGAAATCTGTTAGGCAGGGATATTCATTTGTCTTCCGATTATATACTTTCTCTGTGTAGTAAATTGAAGCCACATGATAACTGTAGCGCTGTTTGACATTATGGTTTGTTACATCTTCCTGCACCACCTACTTCAATAAGTGTCTTCACCATAGTGTTTAAACTGGCTTATCGGCTTACCTATCTTTAGAAATAACTAAGAAACTCATAGGTTTTATAAGAATATTTTACTCTAAAAGCAAAGTGAATATTGGTGATACATTTATGCACATTGAATGAAATTAATTTGATAATTTAAGTTTCCAAAAACTCGTTCAGCTTTTAAGAAATCAAGCATGAGATGATTGAGAATTGAGATTCATGACAGGAAAAGACTATAAATTACACTGTTTTTGTTCTCTTTTGAGCTTATTTATTATGCAATTTAGTGAGCAGAAATGGAACATCAATGCTACTTCCGCAACTGGGGTTATCAGCATATAAAACTGCGACAGAATCTGGAAGATTTTTTGGTAGAATTTGTTCAAACACACCTTCAGAATGCTCTGTAGTATCTGAGTAAGTAGCCAACCATATTCAACATCTCTTCACTGTCAAGAATACATTTTTTTACGTAAATATCTACAATAAGGGATGAAATCTATGCGAACTATTCGAATCGCGCACTTGAAAAGTCTGTAATCTTGTACATTTTCGATTTGGCATTGATTGAATACCTTATGTAAGATCTGATAAATATGAGATATACCAGGGGTGGGCACACCGCGGCTCGCGAGCCTCATGCGGCTCGCCAGACTTTTTGTGCGACTCTTCTCGCTAACATAAATTATTCTCCAAATTTTAACTAAGAGAAAAACTTTAATATAAACTCTTTTAATTTATTAAAAGTCGTAAAGAAGTTTTCGTTAATAATTAGGACAAATTATGTTTTAGTATGAAAATCGCTGTAGCGTTGAATTTAAGTCAGTCGAGTCAGCAAATCTTTCGTCACAATGGTCAATGTTTATTGATGCGTCGGTGGTATTGCAGCTTGATTGCGGTTAGTTAGTCTAAGATCTAAGTTACTGTGCGATGTGTCCAAAATTAAAAAAAAAGAAAGTACGAAGAATCGAAGATGAAAACAGAGTTGTCAGAGTTGCCTTGTTTATCTATTTATTGTTATTAGACTCTTGTGTGAATTTCTTTTCTGTTCATAGTATTTCGATAATATTGATAAATTCACAAATTCTGCGGCTCTTTTAAAGTTCTGACTTGCAGCATGCGGCTCTTATACTAAAAAATTGTGCCACCCCTGAGATATACGATTACATTATTTGTGACTACTTATGTAACAGTAGACTGTTGCAATGATATGCTTTCCCCTTTTCCCAGAAAATCTGCCATAGAACAGCTGGCCTATAATTCTCAAAGCACTGATTATGAGGATGAAGCCAACAATAAAAATAAGGATAAACAACATGCATTGTGTGACAACAATGAAATCCCTCTAATAAATCAACAATTATCTTTGTATGATAGAATTAAAATGAGAGAGAAAAGAAATTTAACGTCTGTTGGTGAGTGTATAGTATGGTGACGTTTTTTTATGCAACATTTATTCACATCTTTCTTCTGACTGATATCTCACAATATGTGCTTCTATTATTTGGAAAGACAGACTTTCTGTTTTGACATTGCATACCTGATTTATTACGCCTCACGTGAGGTGGGGGGATTTGAACCTGAGACTGGCAATCTGTGATGCCAACACAAAGTCTTAAGCTCCAACTGATGGGTTATCACAACATGTGGTATTGTGCCATCATTGTAGAAGGTTTGTGTGTGCCTGCAGATGTTGAAATCTATTGATTGCTGTGGTTCTTCCAAATATATATTGAAAATTGGATATAAAGCAGAACATGATTATTTTACATCTTAATTTCTTGCACTATCAGTTGATAAGTAAGACTAATTACCTTCCTTGTTCTATATCCTTGTGTTGTTATATATAAGTGGAGTAAAATGCAAGGATGCTGTAGCAGTAATAAACATCACCATGTCATGTAATTTAAAAGTCCTGCTGCCCACTAAAACAGTATTTCTGTAACATATCGTCTGGCCATATATGTTAGTGTGCACTGTGCAGTAAGACTCTAGAACCATATAGAATTTCTTAAACTGTAAAATTTTACCTATATGCATTTTATAGCTTCATATGTATATTTTCTTTAGATTCTTTCATAAGTCACTCTACTACGGAACCATCAAGGAAAAGAAGACGAAGAGTTTCAGGTTCTTATTATTAATTTTTTAAAGTGACAGTCTGACAGAGTTTGAGTCCATGCTCTTGATTTATGTTATAAAGAGACATATCATCTTGAGAAACTGCTGTGACAAATTATATATATAATTGGCCCAGCGATTTCTTAGTCCATTTTAAATTCATGCCTGTTATTTGTTTTTTTAATCCTGCTCGGTAATTCATGATATTTCTGTTGTCCGTTGCTTTTTATAATCGATTCTAATATTGCTTTTTTTCTATAGAAAATTCTTGTCAATCATCATCTCCGAGATCACAAAGGAAGATTTCCAGAACACAACCAAATAAAAATATATTTTCTTCTCAAGCAGCAAAAGCAAGTATGCAATATGTTTTATTTCACCCACTTTTGTTATTCTCTTCGTATATTCCCATTTTATCATGTTATTATGCTATTGGTAATGGCTTTAGCAAGTAACCTTGTTGAGGTTTCATGTAGGCATCACTGTTCATGATGATATTCGGAATTCTGATCCAGGGGGATTTTCAGGGTCGAGAACCTTCCTTTTTGAATACTGAAAGAGTCGCTGATAACGCATGCGATTGCATTTTGTTAAAATTGACGATTGTTTTGGTCAGCATACGTGTTATTTAGTCCATCCTATCTTACATGAGCAAATACACGACTTTTTCACGATACAAGATATAATCACTACTATCAGACATATTATCGCACATTTTTATGTCCGCGGATTGCCGTGGTGTTTTTGAGTAGTAATGTAAATATATTGCTCCAAATCGACACAATCACATGTGCACACAATTAAAATAATAATGAATGACATTTCAAATATGCTCGTATCGACCCTGGATTGACTACTTTGCGTAATTGTGAATGGTAGTCTTTGGGATTGTAACGCCGACCTTGGGTTTTCTCTAACTTTGATATTTTAGGAATAGGTGGCAGTCAGTGTTGCTAGGACAGCTCAATTTTGAGAAATCCCAATATCGCAAAAATCCGAATCTATTTATAATCGGGCAGTTCACCATATATTTAATGTCCGCAGATTGTCGTAGTTTTCATAGTAGTAGTGCTTTCATTTTATCGTGAGTCGATGCATAGGCAATTGTTAAAACCCCCCTTTCCAACCCCTGATGACCCAACTAATTCTTGTCAATTTGAAATTCCAAACCTTGTTTCAATTTCGGGGTATAGTTTTCTTGGAGTGTGGGGCTGAGAGTCCAATGAAACTCCAGGCGCATTTGTAAAATCCCCAGGCCCACCCGTGGTATTATCATCTTGGTTTACTCTGCGTTCAAATTTCAGTAGGCAAATTTTTTTCATCCAGTTTGTAAGAGCTTTACAAGACGAAGAAGCACAATGGATTTCACAACACCAATGTTAAGAGATCCAATACAGTTTGGTTCAAGTTACACAAAAAAGAAAAATATCAGAAAATCTGTCATTGTTCTAACCAATTTTCATTCTGGGTGAGTTTTTATAGATTTTTATGAAAAATCAGTATCTAGTTTGGCATACTTACTCAATAACTTTTGCAGTAGAATCAATTTTATTGGTCCAATACTATGAATTAACCATGGGACTGGATTCAGTTTTTAGTTGTCAAATGATGTATTTATTATTGATTATTAAGAAAAAGACGCTACAAGAAATAATATTATTGTAATAATTTTGATTCTTACATCACTATTCGCCATTTCTAAATACATGTTACATTTCAGCATATGCCGATCATATATAAGATGACTGCTGGACAAATACAATGAAAGCTATATTGGGTTTCAAGTTCTATTTTCATGTTTTCAGAGAAAGATTTGAACTTCATAAAGCTGTTAGAACTTTATCTGGTTTTCGTATAACATCGATTGTTAGAGATCAAACCACTCATGTTGTTTGTGGAGCAGCAAGACGTACTATGAATGTGCTAAGGGCAATAGCTAAAGGGCTTTGGCTTTTATCTAAGAATTGGGTGAGATTATTATTATCTTTCTGTAATAATTGTTAGATTCACCATAAACTTTTCAGCTGAAGATTATTTATTATGGCTTTGGCTATTAATTTCATTATCTGACCTATGATATGGAGTACAACACTGTATCTTGTGCATGTATTTTTGTGTATTTCTCTTTTTTTATTTAAAAATTCTCTTTATATTTGTCACTCAATGGAAATTGATGCCAATTCAGTGATACGATAGTTTTAAATATGTAATAGATATGAATTCCTCGAGATTGACAACCATTGGCATAAACCGTAATCACAATCCATATGATGGTGCTATGCCTGCTGTGCAGGAACTAAAATTAGGCTTAATCTTGAAAAACTGTAAAAAAAATGCTTATTGCACCCTATAAAAAACAAGGATTTAACCTAAACATTGTGGTTGCAAAAGAAATTTAGAAACAGACATCCACTTATTCAAATTGCTGCAAATTTTTTGTTCGTAGGATATAAACCATATTTTACTGACATGTCCTATCAATTTCCATGAATTGTATTGTTTTTTTAATCAATTCTCATTTTATTATTGTTGTTCTAAATAACAATTTATTCTTCATTTCCTGAAGGTGACAGACTCAATCTCGGCTGGATTTTGGTTAGAAGAAGAATCTTATGAAATATATAGCATATTTCCAGCTGCTCGAAAAAACAGAAAATGTCGTTCAAGAAATTCTATATGGGAAAACAATCTTTTTGCAAAATTCGATGGCCATATTTATATTTCTGATGATACAAAGCCATCACAGGCAAGTCTATCGATTCTATGAAAGTGATTTACCGAATCTTTTTTGAAGGAACATTGCAGGAATCTAAACTTGGGGTTACATTAGTCGTTCACTGGAGAACCACTAATGCAATTCACTTTTTTCTGCAGTTGTCTGTAGTGAGTTTTTATTGTTCTGGGCTGTTAATGATGTTCAAAATAGCATTTCAGTGGAATTTAATGACAGCACAAATATGCTACTTTTTTAACACCTACATAAGATACTTTCTGTCAACCAGTTGCATACAAAGCTAAACACATTGAATTCTAGTTATTGTCACTACTGTATCCATATATAATATTAGTGCTAAATGGGGTAGTTATCTTCCGATATAATTTGTGAATACTTGATTTCATGCATGGAGAAAATTCCATTCTCAAGTACAGTAAGTTTAAATAGGCTATGCACTTTCTAAGCATACTTTCATGACTTAAATTAACATTTCAGGATGATTTACGAGAGTTGGTTTCATTATGTGGTGGACGTATTGTTGGGAGTTCACGTCGTGCTTCTGTCTGCGTTGGTAACCCAGGAAGAACTGTCAAGGATATTCCTGTAGTCAATGAGACGTGGGTTTTAGGTTGGTGAATTATAAAATTATTTTAATAGAATTTATAGTCTCTAAAGTTACCCAATGACTTGAAAGACGTTTACTTAGCCCTGGATATATGCCCCTATCACTGTACTATTTCACCCTTCAGTAATTACAGACTGCACGAGCTTCTAAACATACTTAAAATGAAGTTTCTTCTCAGTTATAAACCTCCACCATTTGTTTTATTTATGGCTTCACTGTGAGTAATATGTTTTCATTTTCTCATTTCAGATTGTGTCAGCGAGAATTGCCTTCTTCCAATGGAAAAATATTTGATACTATTTTAAATAATCTTCCGCTAAGTAATGACACCCAACCGTTCTTCAATAACTTAAACCTGTCTTAAAGTTCCATATTATTTTTTTATGAAAGATGGATAAGACTGCCTAAATCATAAACCTCTATGTCGCTTTGATAAGAAATAGATATCTCGTTCATTGTTCCTGTTATTTGCGGGTGTGCTCAGGTACCAGTGGAACATAATTAACCCTGCAATACCGAAAAGTTCTATAATGTTTCTGCTTGTAGATTTGAACCTGTGACTTCCATAAGTGGTAATATGTAGTGAAATTATGTTCCTTACCTACACTCAATTGAAATCTATGCTCGAGTAAGGGATTTTTCAAGTTGCAATTATTGAAGCAACGTAATGATTTATGGCATGCTAAGCCTACATAAAGTTTAATTTGGTTGGTTGTTCATCAATTTACAATATTTAATAGGAGTGAACTACTGAGAATAATTTACCAATACACAATGAGTGATGAACATGTGGGTACCATTCATCGTTTGTAACCTACGACTGAATGAATGAATTTTCTTACATAACTTTGATCCCCGATACATCATATCTCCATGTATTTATACATTTAATTCAACTATGTATGCTGTATTCGCTTAACCTTAATTTTTGATCTTGATGTTTCTTGCATAATGTATTCAGAATGATATAATGATTATTTTATTCCTATCTTCAAGGCTTCAGAGAAAATGCTTGACTTTTACTTGCAATCGGTATCCTTTCGTAAACCAATCATAACATCTGAATGCAGTTTTGGTTGAACATCGCCTTGCTGTTTTTCACACCTTGTGTAGGTGGCTCAGACAGACAGATTTAATCTGTGATGCTGAGTGATCAAAAATTGTTATTCTGATACAACTGTCTTTTTCTTGTTTCTGGTCATTGATGTATTTAATTAGTGTTTTCCCCGTTGAATGATTTTTGGTGAATTGAATTTTTTTATGAATTACCGTTGAAAAGTTTATTGAAATTGACTATTTTTTTGATTTGTTATATAAGATGGTTCATGTTTTGTCGGAATTAAACCAAGTGAAATTGCACACTGACATTCATAGTTTTTCAGGGTTCCCCATTTTGATATGTAGTGGAGAATGAGGAGTTGTGCATTCAGTTCTGGAGCAAGAATCAATCTTGCATTCATCAGCTTGCTGTCCTACTGAACGTTTCAGGTTTTCATTCACGTTAGTAGCGTGAAAAGGTGTAGTCCGTCTTCAGACTCATCACATGTCCAGTTAAGTCTACTGAAGCTATATAGATATATTGGGTGCCAGTTTATACCGATTTAGCACAATGTTTTAAGCAGTTTTAATTCAAAACCATAGGAATATACATAAGAGGTGAATTTCTCCTAACCAAAACCTTTGGCATCATAATTGTTTTGTCTTAACTGATGAGGCTAATGGCAACCGAATACGCAGAATATTTCGAGAGCAATAAGTAGTAACATAATATCTGTAATCTAATCACGGCTTGTAACCAGAAAGAGTTTGAAGGTTGGAGGCCAAGCATAATTGATATTATTTTTTGAATTGGGTTCATCTGGTTTAGTACAACCACATAACTAGCACCTATTTAGCTATCGATTGTTTGACGACAAGTTCATATTAAGAATATTTAGACCTAATATATCTCTAATGTTTATAATTCTGAATATAAAACTTAGTCTGTGGAACGTTCGCTATATTTGTTACAAAATCATATCATATTTACAATAAATACAGTGTTGAGTTGGTTTTGAACATGCAAGTGCATCACAAAATGTGTAGTGCGTTTTTTTGAATAGTTCAATAAAATTCAAACTGACTTTATATTAACAAAATAGATTTCGCGAGACATTGCTTACATGTTCAAAACTTCATTGTAGATGATAATAAACTAAAGATCACAAGGATATCTCCACACCAAGATTGATCCATCATAGTTAGCTGTGACAATATATCTCTCGTTCGGACATATTTTTAGTTTAGTTATTTCACTGTGTCCAACTCCAACAAAACGAACCTCTGCATCATCATAGCCCCACACCTAAATAGGAGAAGAGTAGTGGTTGAATTAAAACAATGGATATAATAACTACCTGGGAAATACCAAAACCAAGTTTAATAATCTCGTACCTGTTATTCCGTAAAATTCAATCATAATTATTCATTTTATTCGATTTTTGAAAACCAACCTAATTACTGTTTATATTAACTTTTTTTACATTTCTGAGTTGAAACTCGTTCAATATAAACTGATTGACTTCTAAGCGTTCTTAGTTGAACACAATGCAATTTAAGATGTAATAAATTTTATTTATGAGTGTATTCGAGGTAGTCTATTTGACTTTGTTCTAATATAGTATGAATTGCTCTAACTCTGATAAAAGTGCAAGTTTTATAGAATCAAACTACGATTCTGGCACAGTTTTTTAATAAACTTGAAATGACTTTGTTCACAATATTGCAGTAAAGATAATTAAATTGCGTGTTATTCTAGATGTCTTCACAATTCCTTTTCTATTTAAATATTATGACATCTCGAATTTTTATACCAGTTTCAAATTACTCATTAAAAATTAAATTTCAGAAACTCCGATATGTGTTTGATTGGGTATCATCTGAAGTTGTAAATAATTATTTCTACAACTGACGCACCTTGACAAGCTTATCATTTCCTCCAGTGACCACAGTTTTTCCATCTGGTGAGACATCCATTCCATTAATATCTCCTGACAATGAACCATCAACCTCACGGATCTGAGACCCATCATAAGTTTCCCAGTATGCTATCTTACGATCTGATCCCGCTGTAATAATCTTGATAAAAAAATTATTTACCTATGAAAAGAATACTGGTCTAATTTCATTAGCTTATGTATTATGATTTTTAAATCTTACACTCCTTATGTTTACCATCGTGTGTATAAATGGAATATAACCCCATTTTTATCACCAAATTTGTGATTTGGCTTATTATGCTTTAAAAATTATCTTGCCTTTGCATCAATATTCACTTGGTCAGGTTTGCAGGCTCAAATCACATGGGGCATGAATATAGGCAAGGACTTCTTTATATCGCACCTCCGCCATTCAAGTCCATACATCTAGATAGCTTCCCCTTACCGTACTTAGAGCAATCCCCTATAATTTCCGACTCAATGACTCAACTCCAAGCCAACTCATGATTTTCTCACCTGGAATTCTTTAGGATGATAACATACACATTTGAACAATGTGTTGGCCATAACCATCTGTTTACGAGTATATCTAACTAAATCCCAAATGATGCATGTTCCATCTGATGATGCAGTAACACAAACTGCATTGTTTTTCTGGATCTGGAAAATATGACATGAAATAAATAAAGTTTCAAAAATTTAACGTTTTCTTAAATTAATTCCAAAAATCTATCCGACCAATACAGCAACTGGATAAATGTTCAAAATAATCTGATTTATAAAATCTAAAACTGAAAGAAAATGACATTCGAGAGGTGATTGTATTTGTTAAATTTTTTGATCTGGCAGGAAAATTATAACCTGTATAAATATGACATTTATACTGCTGGAAAATAAATCTATTTAAATATTTTAAAAAACATCACAAAGCGTGTTTTGAACTATTCTAATATTGATGGCAATCCACCATCTCCTGATAAATAGTAAATGTTATTGGTCATGATAAACAAATGGTCATTAATTCCTTTAAAATAGAAAGAAGCTTTTACCATGTATACAGCTTTTATCATGTATACAAATAAAGATCACAAAGCTAACAGCCCTGGTTATTATTGAGCTATCTTATCAGTGTTTCTCCTTAGCCAAAGCTCTGAAGTCAGGGAAAATTCACATCAGACTCCAAACCATTAGCCACACTTTCTGCTTTTTAGCTAAAAAATACTATTCTAAAACTTTTGAAGCTCGATTTAATCTACTCATACCTTGATAGCAGCAATGGACGACTTGTGTTCTTTCATTGCTCCCATAAACGTACCAGCAACATTCCATACACGTACCTAAAACATAATTTGGAGAATTACTGATAGTTTTGACGTTTGTTGATTTGAAATTGCAAGCATTACATGAATAGCAGAATAACCTGATTTAAAACTCAGTTTAATTATCCCAAGTGACATTCGAAAATTAGCAAGTAAACAAGTACCGATATTATAAATTGAGTTATGCGTGAACGGTTGATATTGCAGATTCACATATAGCAAGATCTTATTTAAAAAAAATGTCTTAGGTTAGATTAGGGCCTGCAGCCCCAACAATCCCCAATTAAATCTGTTCTACATTGGTGCAGCATTAATAATGGTAGGAAACTCGAGAGTGTTTTTTGCTGAGGTTATTCTCATTCAAAGAGTTGAATAACAATTTGACAATATAATATTTAAATTATAATAATAGTGAGATAAACCTTTTTGTATCATTAAATTTTGCATAAGTCATAACATTGTGATGCAGCGGGTATACGGTAATTCATTGAAAGTAAATAACAAAATTAAAAAGTAACTGAGTGAAAAATGGAATAGTATTACCTGTCCTTCTCCACCTCCAGAAACTATTTTCTCACAGTCAGAAGTTGTTGCGATTGCAGTCACGCCCAAATTGTGAGCATTGTTGATGACAAATCTATTTCAATATAACAATATGTGAATAGTTTTTATAGCAATAGTGGTGGACATAAGCACGAGTGTGAAATATTTTTGTAAATGTTGTTATCAAGAAACTTCCTACTACCAGGTCTCAGATTAAGATTTTAATAGGTAGTGGAAAGCCCTAATCATAGCCTTGAAAGCGTATTAGTATATATTACCCTATACCAGTATAATTAATATATTGTATTAAAAATATATAAATAGATATAACATATTTTTTTACACTGTAAATTGCTATAAAGTTTACTTTTGTTTCCCAGTCTCAGGTGTGAAGCATCTGATTTTTCCATCGTCCCAAGCAGATAAAATAGATGTACCATTCTGTAAAACACCACATATTTATTTACCATTTGATTAAACCATAGCTTCCCCAAACTTTTTAAACCATAGCTGATAATATAGCCATTCATGCCTCTATCTCAACAGTAACTTTACACACACATAATCATTTTATGTCAAGTTATCAACACGATCACATAATAAGTAATTTTAGGAACTGGGCCGATATTTTGTGGTGCCATTGAAATTATCGCAAAGCAGGGTTTAGAGATTACTTTTTCAAGATGTTTCTTCTAATTCATTTTTCCGCTGCAATGGCTTCCCTTCATTTTAAATAAACATGAAATATTAAAATTAATTTTGAAAAAATCAATTTACGACTTTATTGAAACATAAATACTAGAGTGCAAGGATGCATTAAAATGCACATGCTTCCAACAAACTTGATGCAATTTAAGTAGGTTAAGTATTTCAGATATAGCATTGTAAGATTTACCTTCATGAATTCCACAGCACTGCATTCCATGTTGGGAACTGTGATTCTTAGAAGTTCACGAGATGTTGGTGTGTGCCAGATTCGAATATCATTTTTTGAGCAAGTTGCAAACAACTCGGAACATCCTTCTGCAAAGGCAACATCGTTCACTGTATTATAATGTGATGTGCTTTGTAGATCAGGTTCGAAGTCAGTGAAGTTTAACCTATAGAAAAAAAAATATAATCATTGAAATAAAGGTATTATATATAGATGATGAAAGAAACAGACTTTAATTATTTTGGCATCACCAAATAGCCAACCCAATTTTTCACCTCTTGGGGAGATGAAATAGGGTTTTAGTCAAAAAATGGATTGATCTAGGTTCAAAAGTCGACAAATCACAATATTTTGAAAACGTATATTATTTTTAGATTTTCCCAGTAGGTTTGAGGATAGTAAATGTTAAGACTTAGGTATAGTATAGATTATGATACCCATGTTAAATAGTTTAGTGGTAACTTGATCATCTACTTTCAAACTTCTTTTTGATTGTTTCATCCTCTCTCATAAACTCTATTTAATTTATTTAATTAGCCAATTTCAATATATGTTCGAACTACCGGTAAGTTATGTGAATATCCTAAATCCTTATATACCAGCTTAAAGAACGTTTAATAGGACAGACATCAAATTCTTTTTAGTAGTATGCTTCATTCTATACAAATGTTAAATAAATAAATGGCTTTTAATAATAAATTCAATATCATACTTATATATCTGTGACTTGTCAGTCCCAGCAAATATTTGATGTCCTTCTCCTCTCAATGCAATTGAAGTCACAGATCCTTCCACTTTGCAACTTTTTAATTTATTATATTTTTCTCCAGTTCCTTTGACCAATGCAACAGTGCCATCCCCTGATCCAACCAAGATATCTCCAGTCTTGAGAATCTAAAACATGCGACTTATTTAACTCATATGAAAAGTATATTTTTTCACAACTTTGAGATTAAAATTGTATTATTATTGTTCATAGATTGATTTTGAACCCTTAATTTGGATAAAGCTCTTAAAAAAGATACTATTTATAGGTTATTTCTGATAGCCCTAATTTTTTACATTAACCAGTGCAGCGTCCCAATTTGATAAAGAATTGAGTCTGAGGTCTCTGTTTTGTACAGATAAACTAGCTGAGTCAAAATTCAAAATTAATTGCCAATTTTAACAACCTAATACATGTTAGTATAGAATCTCATATTATCCAGCAATTTTTGAGTTATGAACATTTTAAATATATATTCCAAAGTATCAAAAGTCAATAAAGCCTAATGATTCTGTGCATTTATATTCGATAAACCTTGTAATGTTAAACTTACTTTCATATCAGCAAGCCCACGACTAAATTTTCCTTTTGCGGGTCCAAAGTTACTAAGCAATTTTGTTTTCATATTAATTTTCAAAATATCTCCACTTGTAGTTCCACAGTAAAAAAATTGATCTTTTTCATCAACCTAAATAAAAATATAGATGTTTGCAAAGTCATAATTTTTATTCCAGAGTCACATTTTTTAGATTAAGGTTGTCTTGAAACTCCCAGAACTAACTTTTCAAAAGTAATTAAATAACACTCGCAAGGGTCTAGTTCAGACTACCAGTTCATAAAATTGAGTCAGGCATTTTTAGGACATCCTACCGTACCGGTACCGGTACCGGTATGGCACACAACCTGAACTCAGGTTTTGTACCAGGTTAGGGTTCAGGTTGTGTGACATATTGGTGCACATACTTCAGGAGTACCCATTTTTACATGCCATCCAATTTACTCAGGTATAGATAGTATTTGCATAAAATTTAGGTTTTTCTAGAATCGAGATATGAATAATTCTTAATGATTGCTTTGTTGAAAATACATGACTGTTGACCAAGAATGTTTCAAATAACTTGAAAATTCTAAAAACAAAATTCATGATGAAGAAAAAACGTTGTATCATCCTCTAGTAGCATATATACTCTTATGTTTGCTTGAATATTGCAATATTGTTCCCTTATACAGTTAAGACAATAATAAATTTCATACTTCAATGCATTTGACAATTCTTTTCAGTTGTCCCATGTTGCATTCAATTGGTCGAATTTTTCGATTTGCAAGATCAAGTTCCCAAACTCTCAATGTTCCATCACCTCCAGTAACAAACAGATCATCTCTGCAATTTGCATATTTTACTGAGTATGTTGTTCCTGCTGACTGTACAGCTGCTGGTGAACCACAAACCTGCAAACATGGATGCAATATTGCACTATCTACTCTAATTTGAAATAGTTAGTGGATGGTGTGAGTATACTGCCTAAAATTTTGCTGAAGCATGTGAATAGAACTTTTTATGTAGCCTACTTCTAAAACTGTGAAATGAAATTGATTTTATAACCTTATATACCGAAGGACTCATTTTATCAAAAACCAGGAGCTTCCTCTCACTAGTTTTTTTCATTGGATACTCAAAACTCAATATTTACTAGATTCACTGTGTAGAGAGTCTTTTTGTGAGTGGTGAAATAAATCAACTTACAGCGTCTTTAGTTTCCAAGTTCCAAACAACAACTGAACCATCATCTAACCCTCCTAAAGTAACAAGAAATTTATCATTTGGTGAGAATGCAAGATCTTCAACTTTAACTTTATGAAGAACAAGTTGGCAGTATATGCTTCGCTTCTCCCAGTCCCAAACTATAACACTTGCTTTAAAACCCATATGGGTCACCTGAAACAATTATACAAAACATTAACAAAATACATAAATACGATAACAACAAAGCAAGTAAAATTTGTATTACTATACTATCTTCATGTCACAGAAAAAACAGATATATAATGACAAAATCTTAAAAGTCATGAACTACAGGTGAGAGATAGGAAATGAAAAACAATTTAGTTCAACTGAAGTATAACTGCCAGAAAATAATTGTATTGACTTTTTTTCTGTATGAAGTGAATTAATTTAAGACAAACGGGAAGAAACTGAAAAGAAATTACTAAACAGACAGACACACTGACTGTTATTGACTTCTCTAATTAAAAACATCAATTAATGCAAAAATAACCAATTCCACCAGTGAATATGCTCTATTGGTGAACCGCATTTTAAATATTGATACTAGGAATAGCAAAAAAAGGCTTAATTCTCTCAAACAAAGGGACCCCAGAGTCCAATCCCACACTTTTTTTATAATTCGCAGTTCAGAAAAAGATATCAAAAGTCTTTACACCAAATTCAATATTACAAGAAACTTTATTCTTACCTGTCCTGAAGCAATATATTTCCCGCTTTTTGAAATAGCAATGCAAGAAACATTGTTTGTATGACCCGTTAAAAACGACTGTTCTGAAGAATTTAAATCTCTGATGACAATTGTGCTTCCAAGTGGATAAATCAAGTGCTGCCTAATATTTATAAAAGAGAAATTAAAAATTGACACTCAAATTTGATTTTAGAAATTAGTATGAATTGTCGTTGAGCAATTTGACATGTATTTTACAGTTTCATGATTCTATTAAGTTGAAAACATATTAGAAAAAAAATCAATGTCTAATGATGCCATAGTTAAGTTAGTTCAGCTGTCAATGCATAGGAAAACAATAAATAGTTAATTTAAGATGCAATGTTCTTGTTCAAAATAATTACAAATAGAGCGTAAAGTGAAATCTAGATTAAGAAATTCCATCCTGATTTCACAATTGACAGATTGAAGTAAAGTTACATGTAATATAGGTAATGTCTTGCAAACTGTTTTTATTTTAAATAGAAATAAGCATATTCCGTTAAGATGAACTAAAATGAACTTTTAGAACTAGGCCTAGGCTTTTACAGTAATATTCGATTACTGTTGTTAAATCCAAAATATCCACACTGTCAGATTGTCATACCTGTCTGGATGAATCGCAAGTCCTCCTTCTACATGTCCATTAAATCCAATGGTAGAAACCAGTTGCAAACTGGAAATATCTTCTATTGATTCCGCCATTATGGAACCCTTTTTAACGTTAAAAATAAGGTAACAAAACAGACAGCGATAAGTTTCTTCCTGGAAAACGGCTAAGCATTCAAAATGAGCAAGAAGGAACGCCGTTCCGGTAAGCTGTTGAAACGTTGTTATGACAACCGAAGCCCAGACAACGCAAAATAAGTCGATAAGCAAAACTTGTTTCATCGATTTTATGGTTGAGTAAGATCAGCTGCTTCTCACTTTGTTTATTTGGTTCGAAGGGGATTTTATGGTGCTCGGAACAGCCCCTGATCTCGTAGCTAAAGCGTCTCGTCGTGATAAGTGGTACCGGTAGCTTTCGGAATCATGTTCTTCTGATTGAGCTTAATCTCTCGCGTTTCGAAGGAATTCGAAAAAGTAGTCTATACTTCGTAACAAAATGATATAGGAAATGATTATATTATGTATGTGAAGACAGAGTAAAGTCGAAACCAATGCTAACATTTTCTGATTTTTGTATTCCAAAACACTGATAAACAACTGAAGTTTATATTCTAAGCATTATATACTACTGTATTTTATTACAAAATAATGTCATTATGCAATAAAATAAAAATTATAGGCCAAATTTTATCAGGGTCCTTATGTTCAGAATATATTATATATTTAAAAATCAATTTTTCTAAAGATTATATTCATTAAATTAATTCTTCTGATCTTACCCCAGTACCCTTCATCTAATCTGTAATCATAGACAAAAACGACCGGTATATCCCGATTCCAGCAATGCTCAATATAGGCTACATGAGGTTATGGATATGAATTATGAGTAAATAAGTAGCCTATATAACGTTAAGTATAAATTTATTTAGACTCCATAATCAGCATAACAATACATTTGACAGATAAAAACAAATAAATAAGAACTGATTATGAAATCAGGGGAGCAAACGAAACCTTAGATAAGGTTTATAACGTACAAAATATAAGATGGAAGGTTTTGCCAAGAGGAAGTGGTACGTGTTTATTCACCTAAAATTATTAAGTTATTTCGAACACGCTCACATGCACCCACCAGCCACACACACACAACCACTGAGAAGTTATTTAGGTAAGAATAAAACGCGATAAATTTAGGGTATATTATACAGTAAACAAAAAAAATATTTGCCACACCATATTGATATTTTTGTAATGGTTGCCATTGCCAAACTGATCGATCTTCTAATCGTTTATTAAAATATAAACGAAGATTCTATTGAAAACATATTGCCAAGCTGATTATAGTTGGAGTCAAATGCCAAGTTGCCCAACCAAAGTTGCCAGAATTGGGTACATGAAGAGGTGGGCGAGACCATTTCATTCCCCAAATTGTAAAAAGTAATTAAAGTTACCGGTAACAGTAAAATTACTATAATTAAGTAAAGTAGGATATGGAAATAAATTGGTTACAAAAGGTGTAAGTGAGGTTTTACATTCTTGGGTATTGATTTCAGACAAGGATATAGGAATAAGGTTGTCATTTTACAGGATATCGGAGTCTTTGTTTGATTTTTTCTTTATGTGTTTTACTTCATTTAATCACTTTGAAGTAACCTGAAAAACAAAAGATAAAACTGCGAGTAGATGTTTCAATGATTGGGTGAAGGGGAACGCGCTGAAGATCTGAATATAGACTGTTATAATGCTGTAATGGTATAATCAATAAATATAGTAAAGTCTGCAAATCAGCAAATGCAGGCTACTGGCAGACTGGGCTGTAAGTGTTATTTTAGAATACCACTGTTATGTAAATCTCATGCCTTTCAGCAATCTGTTCGCATATTGTCATTACTGCATTAGATATAACAATGTTTTATATTTTTTAACTGTTCAAATACACTGGGAACGGTTGAAACTATGTTATTAAATGTTAGATTAAGACTTTCAGACCTTCAGCTTTTTTCAAGTGTAAATTCAAAGCTAGAATGGCTAATTCAATATTTCAGCCCTGTGAAAGTTGTTAGTGCATGAATTACTGGAATACTTAATTAGCTAGATGTGACATGATTCACCAATACAGCAATATTCAAGCACACTTATGCACACTTTCAAGCCACACAAGAGTAATCAGCAATGTGGAAGCGAGTGGATTTACTGCTTATTTGAGAGCTATAATTTTCAGATGAAATCAATCAGACATATTATATTCAATAATTACAGCTGGCTGGTCAGAAGCACAGGGCAATATATTGCACAACCAATGTCTGAATGCAGCTGCATCAAGCTAAATTTGTATGACTTGACATTGTTAATTTTAGCATCTGTCTCTTTATAGTATGATAAGATCAATCTAAATTCACTATGGTCTCACTGACAATACCGATTACAGGACGATTCTCATTCCTATTTCTGTATTTGTCTTTAATCCATTAATCAATTGATCAATACTTGTGTTATATTCTTGCTCAAACAATGGATTTGCTTGGTATGAAAAAGTATTGGCAAGATTCAGTTATAACAATTGGAGACAAGAAATTAAATATACAGATATATAGAAATCTAATAATATATCTTGATATATCTTTCAGTTAGTTGATATGGATGAAATAGAGAGTGAATTTCTGGCATTCGCAAGAAATGGTGAAGTTGAAAAAATCAAGAAATTGAGACAAGAAAATCCTAGATTAGATATCAATTGCAAAGGTTGCTTTTGCTATTATTAGTTACTACCTTATCAGTTATCGATACTGACATAACCCTAAACCTTAGGGCCTAAGGGATATTAAATTTTATCTAAAACCTAAAATGTCTTGTTGAATTAGACATATGGCAGACTTATAATTGGATACTGTGTGAGTGTGATCTTATGGTTCTACAAGATTTTTTCACAATTAGACCAGTTTTCATTCCAGATGCAGGTACCTGATATGTTTTGTGTCATCTTTGGAAATGTTTAGCCCATTATTATGGTTAAGATGTGCAATTTCATATGAGGTTTATTATTCTATTCTATCTGCTCCCAGACTTAGTCAGACTCAATCCAGTCAATTTCTTGATTTAGCAAATCATATTTATTTCAAACCTGGTCTGGCTCATTATCCTATATTAGCTTGAATAACTTATTCTTGTTTAGGTAAAGCAAAGCATAACCGAGGATGGACATCGTTACATTTAGCAAGTTATTTTGGACATCTTGATGTAGTTAACTATCTTCTTTCATCTAATGCAAATCCTGATGTCAGAAATTTTACTGGAGATACTCCTTTACACAAAGCTGCATTTACAAGTCGAGAAGTGAGGATGGTTTTTATTATAGTCTACAAGATTTATTAAATTCTTCTATTGGACTTGACAATACAAAAGTGAAATACAAACTTACAAAGTAAAATTAATTATATACTTAGTGTATTTTTTTTTTGATGAGATAGATAATCTTGTTGGTCTTCAACGATTTTTTGATATTTGGACACATTTTAGTCAGATTCAATCCTAAATCAAATTAGCCAAATTGTCCAACAGGTTTCAGTTTATAAAACAAATATCTGTGGCTGAACTGAACTGACATCTCAAACTTTGCATTTTCCACAGCAAGCTATTGATTCTAGCAAGTTACCGGTATGTGATAATCGTTATTATTGAACACAATTCATAACACAATTGTACGTTTTCATAGCTTTTTACAATTGCACATGAATCTGACAAATTAAAAATGTTGAAGGTAAAGTGTGATAACTGCTCCATAATTCTTTGCTGTCAGCAACACTGCTATAAATTGCAGTAATGCAATTTCTCCTATTTGTCTTCTAAATATTAAAAGATACTTATTTGTTGCTCATTGATATATTTCAGGATGTTGTTCATAAAATATTGAAATATAATGCAAATCTTTTCATAAAAAATGATGAAAGAAATAAAGCAAGTGATGTTGCTTGTGATCAGCATATCAAGAATATTTTACAAGGTGGATTTTTGAATGTTGATATTATAGTATTGTTTAGCTTTGTGCTACAGCGTATTTTCAAATACTGTAACTGTGATATGTGAATGTTCCCTCATCCCTTACCCAAGAGGTAAGCCTTCTATGATGGCATCACTGGTTAAAATATTTGGTTCAAATCTCATGCCCACCACCTCACTTAGGTTGTAATAAATTGTGTAGGCAACGCTGAACCACGAAGGTTCCGGTTCTTGTAAACTGGAGTTTAACTGTATCTTTTTTCCTAGCAGTGTCTGCTTGTGCAGAGCCTTTCCGGGGCAAGAGGCATAAAAATACGCCATAGAAACAAATATTTGTCTATTGCAGGGTCATATTATGCCTTCAAAAATAAAATATTGCAATGGAACGATAGTTCTATGGTACTCTATCGTCGCCAAGCGGAAATCTCAATATCATTTGAGGTAAAACAAAACTATGGTATATGCACTACATTTAGTAGATCAACTACAAACCCAGCTAGTTACTTTGTTTTGTGTATATTAACTGAAGAACAGTATTTTATGCCCTACAATGTTCAAGATAAACTTTAATTTCAGCCACAGAGAAAACACAGATCAAGAAATTGTCTGAAAGAATATTAAACGCTGCTAAAGATGGAAATGTTGATATTATTGTGGACACTGTAAGTTCAGCAGTTTATTAGGAATCTAATGAAATGTGGTGCCAAAGAGCATCGGTTGAAAATCACTGGTCTATAACACTATCTAAAATCTACATTTATATTAATATATAGTCAGATTTTATTTATGTTTATTCATGATACGTTTCCTTCCTCCTGTTATAATTGGTTAACATTGCTTTTTATGTTGCATATCTAGTTATCTACACATCCAGATATTATAAATGCAAATACAGCTGATGAACTAGGAAATACACCATTACACTATGCTGCTATGAGAGATAATCAGTCAGTTGCAGTTTATTTATTACATCACGGTGGCGATTCTTCTATAGCTAATAAAGAAGGTAGAAAAATGTTTACTATAGAGATTACTAGAGTGTGGTTGTGTTTATTATATGTCAGTGTGGTCCAAACCCTGGCACACGGGCTGCATGCGGCCCGCAGACACGTTCCCTGCGGACCGCAGAAAATTTTAGCGTTCACTTAGGTAAAACATTGGCAAATATTTGTATTTATTGGCAAAACATTTTTGAGTTTTCCCAACTATTGAAACTGGGGTCGGGATTCAAGGTTTAAACCCTTGTCCTAATCTCGATGTCGGGAATGATATTTGTTGAAATCACGGAATTTCAAGGTTTTATATATAAACGTCAAGGCGGTGCCAATATGGGAATGACGATCTGTGATCGGTACGAACGCGTGTCGATAGGCCCTTACGGATACATGTTAAGATAGCCGTACATGCACTTTGTTTTCTAAAAATAATGAAGCGATAATAAGTGAAATATTGTGTGGAGCAATAATGCGAAAAGAAGAGGGGTGAAGAGAATGAATTGTCTTGTGCAGACGGGGCCCGGCCGATGAGATAAGTCACGCTTTTCATCTCAACTTCGCACCTCAAACTCGAGTAAAGCAACTCCTTATCTGGAAAGACGTTTTGTGCCTTTATTTTAGTACAGACACACCCCTTCACCCCAGTGATGAAACGCAGATCTGAAGCAGTAGCCGAAAACAGGAAACGATACATTGTTTTGTTTGTGCTATATATATATTCCTCAAAATAAATAATCAAAAACCCTACCTATGCAACATACCAATAGGTTGATAAGAACAAAAAAATTTTGCTGACTTCTAGGTTTTCCCCACTGCGACCCAAAAGGCTACCTCGAAATTTTTTGCGGCCCTTCAATCTCATAACCTTGGACCACCCTGTTATATGTTAAAGTGCTGGTGAGAGACATGGTTCAGACTTAAATTGACTTGAATTATTTAAACAAAATATCTTGATTGTTGGACGCGAATAACCACTAGGGGGACTGGACTCATGACTGGAAGACAATTTTGTATCCTTGAAGTAGCAAAAAATTTCTGGTAGAAAATATGATTCAACATTTTAAGTAAATATTGTATTTAAAAAAATCTATAATTCACTAGCTTTAACAAACTCCAATGGCCAATGAGTTGTGATTTGAATGATCCATTACGTGAATTGACCCGCCAAACTTTGCTTTTATTAAGGTTCAATGTCCAACATTGATATGTTGCCAATATTTGTCTGATACAGATGCATTCCTACATTGCCATTTGATAAACTAATTTTCATGTGTGCGCGATGGCATGGCAATTAAATTGTTAGACTTTAAGTGTGTTGGCATCGCAGACTACACTCTCAAGTCTCTTGATGACGATCACTTCACCCATATAATAAATTGAGTAGGCAATGCAAAACCGAAAAGATTCTAATCATTCCAAAGTTAGTAGCTCCGTACATATTGCTGGGTTGCAGTGGCTGCTTCTACAGGGCCTAATGCAGAGTAAAAGACAAGAATAAGCTTCATCTAAAAAATCTAGGATTTTACTCATTTTGATTATAGTAATATTTTCGAGTTGCTGTTTTTTTTTTGAATGTATTTAGCTTTTCTGATATTGTAATATTTTTTTTGTTATCAGGAAACACTGCCATTGATATGTGCAAAACAGAACAACTACGCCGACTTCTTGATGTTCAACCTATACAAAACTCTGTTAAATGTGTTCACAGATTTGAAGGATTTATTTATAGGGTGAGCGTTGATTTTAATCATCTTTTTAGTAATTTTTTTTCAGGCTGCTTATAATGTCAATTACTTCAAAGAAAGTGGAAGTAGCTTTTGCCTTTGATTATTTTGTGTGACATTTATTTTATTATTTTGTTTTGGGCCTGGAGCTTAAAGCATTAAATCTTTCTCTGATGCACATCTGGAGTTGAAATCCATGTCCAACACCTCATCCGCGGTGTATGTTATTGTGTAAGCAATGGCGAAACAAAAAGATTACAGTCATTGCAAAAATGGTAGTTCCTTGCACATCATTATCAGTGGTTGCTTGTACATGGCCTTGTTTGGAGCAGAGAAGAAAAATCAAATAAGTAACCTATCACACAGAAAAAGTTTTGAAAGGGCTTTCATGGAACAATGTATAAATCGTGTTACACTGTATACCGTACCACTAAATCACATAAAAATCTGGCAATTTTCACATTTCCCATGTCTGGTTATTAGGCAAGGTGCTCCAAGACTGATGATTGTGAGTACTAGAGTTCCAAATGTTTCTTTGCATCACCCCCTTACTAGCTTGTAAGCTATAACCTGCTGTAAACTCATTTGATACAAATTAAATTGTCTGTGTTGCATAGCCTATTCCACCAGTTTCATTGATATAGTTTCCATTCTGCTGAATTTGGGTGATCCATAATATTTTCCATTCAGAATGCACTGATCAATTAAACAAGGCAGGATTCATTATTCATTTTTTCATAGCTATGTAACCTGTGGATTTATTTTATAGGATCAGCATTATGATATGAGTTTTTATCTTTATATTTAGTTGTTTCTGTAGGATTTATTTTATTTTTTAGAAACGTTTTATTCGACCTCAACTACATTGGGTTGTAATAGACAAAGGTGTTCTATCTTATTTTGCACGACATGCAGATGCTGTTACTGGTAGTAAAAGAAGAATGTTCAAGTATTTAACTGATGCAAAACTTACTGTAAGATATTAATCTACTAATTCTGCTAAAGATTTGTTTCACATTTAACATTATGCTTAAATAGGGTTTTGCTTTCATTTTTTTTTAGCAAAAACTGTGTGAAATGTTTAAAAATTTAATATGGACTTTTGTCAATTTTAATCTAATTGTCTTAAAGTAAATATAAAATCCACTTTCAATCATTCAAAGATGCCTATCCATTCTATTAACTTTTAGTTGGCCATCCCTTTGTCAGGTCTTGACTCTCAATTTTATTTTTGTATGGTTGAATTCTCAGTTGCAAACGTTTATTTTTTTAGCGTTCATTTGTTTTTATTATGCATCTAGGTGAGAGAAGACAACACACATTCCTTTCAAATATTATTTTTTGATGATTCAATACATTATTTACAAGTTAAAAAAGGACCTGAAGCTCATATCAGCCGGCAGGTTAGAAGAAACTTTCATATATTGCTTTCAGATACTTTGGTGAATTGCCTCCGGTCAAAGGCACAATGAGGCCTATAGTCTTATTTAAAGCATACCAAATAGAGCTCATAAATTTGACAACTTAATTCTCCCATTATAATCAGAAACACCAAATATTTGATATTCCTTATTGTGATTTTCCCTGACCTTTTTTTAAAGTTCTACCTGAATAATAATCTTTTCAGAAATGGGCACAGGCGATTCAACTGCATATAGACTATAGTAGTCATTATGCAAGAGTTGGTAAAATACAAGATAGTGAATCTGAAGATGAAGACGAAACAAATAATGTATTATCTGTTGTTAATATACAAAATACTGTGGAGGTAATTTTTTTTCTTGTGAAATAAAGACACAATTAATAATGGGTCAAAGAAAATCAATTTTATGATATTTAGAACATCACTGCAATACAAGGGTGTAAATCCTGGAGGGCAAAACTTGAAAAGGCTATTTTGAGAAAATAAAATAAATCCTATATTTTTCTTTAACTATTATTACTTATCAGTGAAATACTTGATCGAATATTGTTTCAAACTATCATTAGATACTAGTTTAAAGAGAACCACTTTCTTTGTAATGTTTCAACATTCGACGCTTTGTCTTGAAACCCTCATAATTGTACCCAGGGTTCTGGTGTTATGGCACCAGAATGATTGTTATTAAGATTATTCTTTTTGTATTTTGATATTATAAAATCTTTTTTTTCTTCATGGTTCTTTATCCTAAATAGGTTGTTTTTATGATAGTGCCATTAATTGAGATTAATTCTTAAAATTTAGAATATATGGCTTTGAATAATACATAAGGGTTAATTTATCACTGTCTTTATTTTTGTTTAGACTGGTCTAGCTCATCATGAATTACTTAAGAAACAAGTTGACGAATTTGCAGTCGCTGTACATAAAATGGCAATATCAGGTGGGTACCATCTACGTTTTTTTTTTTTAAAATTCTATACCATTTTTTTTGAGCACCCCAGGTATACAGAATTCACTACCTCATAGCAATTTTCCAGATCGTATTGACACAAACTGCTTGAAGTCTAACGTCAATTGGTATTTAGTAAAGCACTAGCTCCTGACATTTTTGTGGTCATCCAGAGGTTTGCTTAGGAATCATTCTCTTTAATTTTTGAGCAAATTTTCTTGGAAACAATCATTTTTTCGGGGCCAGAAAAAAATGGTAAAAATACAAGATGACTCAACCACGATAGAACATGTCCTCGATCCATTGTCAATCTAGGTTGTATATGGGAATTGTTCGATGGTGGAGAAAATTTTAACTGCACCATTCAACTGGTTGTTTGTACTGTGCTTGTACAATGGTGATAAGTCCAATCCTCTCCACATAATCATTTTTAACTGGATTCGAACCTATGAACACATGCAGGGGGTTGACCACCGAACAACAGGGGTTCATGTTTCAATAAAGAAGCTCTTAACAAGCTTCATTCCAGGTTGTGAGATATGATTTAATGTATTATGATATCAGAGAATAAAGAAAATAAGCTGAACAGTCGAGGCAGTTATGGGAGTAGTTGTAAGGTACAAACAGATTTATTACAAACAAATAGACTAATTATAAATAGAAGAACTTAGGGTTCTTCATCAAATTTTTTATCAAATATTTGGAGACATTTTGGTCAGGTGCAATCTCAAAAATGTCTCCCCAATTGCTGATGGAAAGGCGATTTCTGTGTTTTGATAGCAATAACGTCATAGATGAAAACCTTTTTCTACCAAATAGGATGTTGGAAATAGAAGGATCCAGGGTTTTACTGCGATACATATGAGCGGGTATTCGCCCTATGACTTGCAATCAAATATATCATACCTATACCATACCCTTATGTAAAATCTATTTTGAAGTCGTTATTATTACATCATATCTCTTTATCTAAAAAAAAAATACAAGTCTTGACTTTTCAAGAACGAGTTATTGCTCTCTTATTCATGATATTTGCCCTTTTGAGAAATACTAAACTAGCCTATGAGTAAGCGCCTTAAACTTTGTTCTAGATACCTCACAAGCTGCACAAATATTGCTCGGCAAATGTCATCAGATATTGAGCATATCAAATGAAATGACAACAGCATTCTCTTCCTGTCTAACAACATTACAACATCAAGACCAGGTAAGATAATATTGAACTAAAATAAGCTACGGCTATGTTGTTTGGTTCACCTGTGAAAGATTCAGTTCAGCATATTTCAAACATGACGTTGTTGTCTCTTAATGGGATTATAAAACAGGCTTTTGCAGGACATGGTTATATGAGTATAAGTATTGCACTCATCTCAAAAATGATTACCGTCATAAAATGTGAACCTGTGATTGTTGAATCGGTGGATGAGCAGTGTAAGAGTTAGTATTGGAGATGTATCGCTATCGGCAATATCAGCCATGTTATCAATATCGGTAGTTGTATCGGTACCGGCTAAAATTAGATAGATACAGATAAATCCTGTGCGCCGTATTCACTGCCTGATTAACTCTACACAGTTACTATAGTGAGTGATTGCCCTTTAATGGAAGGGCATAGAATAGGATTAACATATTTATCATGGGGGATTTAACATATTTATCACAGGGTATTTTTTCAACAGAGTGTGAAACCAGCTATACATATCTTACAATACTTATGCAGATATCGGTTGGTGCTATTGTAGGTCCTGGCTCAGAGCAAAAATAATACTATTCTAGTGATTAGTTGCCAGTCTAGCATTAGAGTTAGCATTGCATCCTTTTTTAATCAAAATTGATTTATTGATTTTCAAACAGCAGTTTAACCATCGTTACCTATTTCATTAGACTATACTCATATTTTATTCTACTTAGAATTTCTATTTATTATTTTATTTAATATCTGACAAAACTTTCAAATTCATTGTATGGCATTTACATAGTGTTTCATATCAAGATCTCTCTGCCCTCTACATTGTTTTTAATTCTTTTTAGAAACTTATAAGTTATGGTATAATTACTTCTCAATTTTCTCATTTAATTTTATATAATAAGTATTATTTTATTTATTATGAATAATGCCAATATCATATTATATAAATACAGCCATTCTCAACACCTTTTGTACATTTTGGCCTATGTTTTCATATTGTCACTGAAATGGAAGTGAATTCTTTTCTTTATAAATACTAGTAAATGAATCAAAACTTTACTTCTGATCAATAATAAATTGATTATGGGGAAAAAATATAATATTATATCTTCTGTGATTTTTGGTAAAAAAAATAATGTAATGACCATCAAAGTTTTTTTAATATTCATTCTCGAACCCTTATTTCATTATGGAAAACCCAAATAGCCTATTTGAAAAAATTTTAATTACCGGTAATCATATTTAGGATACCATCATCCAATCTCACTATTTGGCCATACAATATCAATATCAATATGTGCTAATTTACAATATTTTATCATAATAATGGTATGCACACATTTGTATCATTATGCGATTTATGTGTGCTCGCATGAATAAAATCAATTGATTTTTGTTGAAATTATCTATTAATATATTGTTCATTTGCATTTAAATTTAGTTGAAACAGAACTTGCTGATTGATATTTAATATAAGATATTTGATATTTTTGATATTTACTATAAGATTGATATTTTTGTTTATTGAATTAGGTAAAAGAAAATCATAGTGTTCCCAAGGATTTTTTTTAAGATTTTTTTTTAAACTGCTGACAAAACCACACAATATTTTATTATATTCATATATTATTTTGTTTAATCACTCATCATATATATATCATAAATAAATTAAATTTTTAAATCTAGGATTTTTTTTATATTTTCAGATCATACACTATCTTATGAAGTTACATATTACTATGGGAACACTTTGTAACTATGCCCTGATGCTATTCATAGCTTGAGAGAATATTGGAGAAAAAAGCAAGGAGAGAATTTATGCAATTTAATATTCAACAGAAATCTTCTTTTGTGCCCAGTTTTACAGACAGTTTGAGTGCAGTGTGAAGATTGAAAAGTTGTTCTAGCTTCGAAATGTTGAATGAGAAATTCAATGGAGCATATCACAAATGACCTGATCAAGTGTCAGAGTGCAGAGCTAAAATCAGAAAAAATTTTGAAAAGCATTTGAAATCTCACTTCAGAGTTAGTGTTACGGTACCATGGTTTCTTCAGCATATATCAGCATATTTGTTATAAAGAATGTCAATTTGAGCTTTTGCTGTTCTGCAACCAAGCACAAGGTTTTATTCCATTTTCACACTGTCAGACTGTTTTAACCAAGCATATGTTGCTTCTGTAGCAGGCTGATAATTCAGTAATTAGAAATCATATTTCAGATGCTGTGCAAGACAAAGAAAAAACTTATCAAGTTATTGAAATAACAACAGGTTTTGGGTATTTTGTTATTAAAAATTGTTGATTTTTCGATTTTAAGTTTAAAAACATACACCACACAGATAGTTATACAGCTTCGTAGTAAGTTTTTCATTTTTAGTATTCATATTAAAATTTGGGAAATGATCATAACTTTTTATTTATCTTAAATTATTATAACTATTGCCTTGGGAATATTTATCTCCCTGTAGCTCTGCGACCATATGCTATTGTAATCTGGTTAGTGGTTATGTGCCTGCTTGGATACGCACTTGTTTGGATTATAATTGTTTTGTTTACTCTTTAAAAGTGTACGTGATTTATTCAGAGTACATGTAATCATAGGACACCCAATTCCTATTTCTATTTTGATTGATTAAAATTATGTTATTAGTGCCTAATACATTTCCCCAGGATTGTCAGATTATTGTATCAGCATCCATTATTCCCAATTTACATATTTGATCTATGGGCAATGCCAATATTGATGATTTTCCTTTCATTACCACCAATGTCCTGTATAAGTTGTTGAAGCAGTCATTATATTCACCTTCCTTGTTTTGTTTTCCAGTTTGAAGACATGTTTATGGCATTGAATTAATCAAAATAAATCTATTTATTTATTCATGTACAACATGTGAGGATTTTTAGTGTGTATAGAAATTTTAGCGTTTCATAAAATAACAATAAACTGCATGTTTCTTTTATAATTTAAATAATCTGATGATTCAAAATTGGATATATTTCATTAAAATTCATCAAAGCAAAAATATATCAGACATTCATTTCAGCTATGTTATGAAAATCTCATTGCCAAAACTTATTTCCAATAACATTTTTTATTTTCTAATTGGTTTCATCCATTGGATAATGAATAAAATATACATACGTCAACATAAATATCACTAACATTAGCATGGCTTTTTATCATAAAATAAAAATCTACTTGACTTGACAAAATCACTTTAATGGATTATGCTTGTCATCAATATCTTTGTTCTGCGTCCACATATTGTATTACTGCTGGAATGCCTCACCATTCTGTTTATCCTTATTTTACCCCTAAGGCATTACAGATGAAATTAGATTCTAATAGAATGGGTTTACTAATCTTTCAATAGCTTTTTGGCATTCATGAAGTTCTAAATGCGGCATACTTTCTCACGGATGTTAGGTATGACTGGTGTCTTTGTGTTATATTCTTTATAATAGGTTCAAGTAGATACCAATATTTAGAAACATTGGTAATAGGACATGGGGTGGGTAGTTTGGGAAAAAGTTCTTTTTATTGGGACAAAAATTTCCTTTTTTTTTCATCTACATGAGCAATCATTTTTAAATTCTAAGTAGATGGAAGTGTTTTTCTGTAAAATATATTGCATTTATAATAGATGTTCATTTTCTCTGCGGTGCTGATTTGATGTTCTGCATTCATATTTATATTTTACTTTTAGGTTGCCCTCTCATAGCTTTATCATTCAACAAAACACCTCATTTTATCTCATTAGGATTTCTCATGGTGATGAAAAAATCGAGAAATTTTGGATTGGTTATCTATTAAAAAAATTCAAACATCATAGGATATCAATTAAACCCTAGGGCATTGTGTTGTAGATAAATTTTTTATGAAAGTTGTCATAATGAATTCGGGTGATAAGATATTCCAAATAGCACAATCATATTATTCCTGAGGTTACACACATTTTTATTGTCTAACCAGATCATACTATCTCTGATATAAATGAGGAAACAAATATAAATAAAAATTCTATAAGTTATTTCATCTTCAAAGTATTAGGAATAGTTTAATATTAAAGATTTGTGGTGTTATCAGCTACCTATATTTAGACGGTCAGTTGCAGTATTCCATTTCAAATAATTAAAAAGGATTGGAGGTGGCATTTTGTCGGTCAGTTTAATTGATTCAATAAAGTTGTATTGTACAGACATTCATTAATGACTGCTTTGCCATAACAGGAAGCTGTGCACAGATGGTTAGTGGATTAAATCAAGTATACAAAATATTTTTAATAATATTTGAAGTTTCAAAAATAAAATAGTCTATATTTTATGCATACAAATGCTGCTTTGGAGTTCTTTTTGCTTTTAATTCCTGTATGTTATACATTTGTATTTGGCCTGCATCTATCAAGAATAGGCTAAATTCACATTGCTTCTACTTCTTTACATTACTAGTGGACCTTTACTTTCCTTTTAGCCATGGAAACTCAACTAATAGTGGTAGCGGTTGCACTGTTTTGAGTCAGAAGAGTGAAGCATATCATGTTTTGTTCAACAGTTATTAAGAAAACAGTTGCTATTGAAACTACTTTCATTGGTTAATAGCCCTGTATATTATGAGGTGGGAAAGTAAATAGTATTTTAGAAGCGAATGCTTAATTTATTATATAGCATATAATATCTTATTTATCTGCACTGGTGAGTATGTTTTATCTTCAGATTAGAAATAAAAAGAATATTTGAATGAGAAATTTGAACAGTAATAATTGCATTTGACCCATGGTTTCTATTTGTAAAAGCTTTATTATGACATTTTAAAATGAAATCTTATTAAAGCCGGTCAGTTTTGAATTGTGTAATCATAATTAATAGATCACTTGAGTAGTCAATCTGATAATTTCATTTTATATTCTTAAATTACAATTTTTTTTGTGTCATTTTCGGTGTTGAAGATCACTTATTATGAATGAAACACCTTTCTCACAAGATAAGAAATAGTCTGTGGGGTATCGAGTATGAAA